TAAGAAGAGAGGAGGCAGGCTTCGGACAGGCCACAGAGAGGCCGCAACAGGCCGGCCAGCTGGTGAGGCCTTGGACAGGCCGTTGGAAGTGCTTGGAAGGGTTCTGCTAGGCTTGGCCAACTGCTGCATCCTGCGCCTTTGGAAGTGCTTGAAGGGTTCTGCTAGGCTTGGCCAACTGCTTCACCCTGCGGTGTCCCAGGCGCCTCCCCGCCTAGGCTTTGGCTATAGGCCGGGGTCGGCGGATATAGAGAGTCTTCAGGCCTTCAGGTGCACCCTAATCGGCCCCAGGTTGTTCTAAGTATATTCGTCTTACATCTCTCCTTGTAGAGATTCCTACTCCGGGGGTTACATGTTCATCCCAACGCTATTTGGGCTCCATGCCGGCGTAAGGATATCAAGAATTGCCAGCAATTCCGTGCCGCTGGACAGGTCTCGCATTCCGACAGATGGGCAGATGCTCCGGTTCAGGACGACAAGAATTCCACCATACACAGCATCCAGACGGAAGGACAAGGCTTTACTACCGAAGAGCTGGCCAGAATCCGTGAGCAGTTCGGGCTCAACAAGCCAAAAAAACAAAGTTTCACTCCGAAGGAAGATGAGGCCCGGCTGCGCGTGAGACAAAGTTTGTTTGTTGCACTGTTTTTCCAACTGGGACAAACGCGTGTACTGTGCAGGGGAGCAGTTATGGGTGCTTCTGGCGTTCAGGGTAAAAGGTCCTGAATCAAACGCTTTACCTCCTATATAAAGTGCGAAACAACCCCGCGGTTCATTCCCAACCAGTGGAGTGATTCCCCAAACAGTTTGTTAGGGGTTCTCAATTCTTTCTTAAGATGTGTCCGCCCTTTGTGTCACTGCTGGTGTCCGCCCTTTTTCGCTGGCCATGTAGCATTTCTATTCATTTGTCTCCCAGGTCTGTCGCTGCTGGTGTCCGCCCTTTTCCGCTGGCCCATCCAGAGTTGCATTTTGTCGGTGTCTCCGTGTCTTATAAGTGGCTCAAAGCTCTTTGTGTAATTACAATTCTAGTTAAATTCTTATTGTTACCAGTAGTAAGGCACTTGTTACTAGTAGCTTCTTGTTACTACTAGTAAGGCACTTGTTATTACTAGCGTGGCACTTGTTACTCAAGTTTAGTTTCCAATCTGAATCCTGATGAAAGAAATGTCCACCGGTGGCATCCACGACTCGCGGGCCAGACACCGTGTGTCGGTCGGACACCTGTCACACCATCACTATGCCTTGCCATTTTCCGGGTGAACTCTCAAACAAGTGCCAGAACACCAGGATGTGGCAAAGTTCCTTTCGGATTGTCAGGTCCACTTTGCTTTCCCCCAGGCAGGTTTTACCTGCGAGATTCTTACTCCTTTCAAAGCGTGCTGTGCTGATCTCAGGTCGGGGTTTGCTTCTGGTTGTCTCCGATTGCGCTGGATTGCTTCGGTGGCTCTTTTTCCGGTGGCCCGGTGGGTGGGCCGGCCTCCGGCTGTCTTTGGCTGGATTGCTCGGGTTGCCTCCTCCAGCTGTCGCTGTCTTTATGCAGTTGTTTTCCTTCACCATCGCCTAGCTTGCGACGCCTGCGCGTAAAGAAGGCCGATTTGGTAATATTGGGTTTCATTTTTACTGCTTGGGGTCTGCGCTGGAATATTCTTTCTGGCCATTACAGCTGGTCAATTCTCGGTCCTTGGGTCCACTCGGTTTGAAGCCAGGCGCTGCATCGGAAACGGAGCTGGAAAGAGGAGCCTTGGCTTGGACTTGACGGAGGCATAGACAACTTTAGACGACACCATTTTGACTCGAAATGGGTTGCCTGTGCTATAGTATTGAACAGGTTTCTATATTGCACGCCCATACGCTCAAGGATTCATATCATATCAGCTGACCGCTGGTTGCCCAAGGGAAAAGAAGACTTCGAGAGCGATAGCTTGGAAGGCCACAAGGCATCGACGTGCACAATCACTTGAATTTCGTGAAGTGCCAGAGATACAAATTCACTCAAGCCACTAGAAACCTTCCCAGACCGCAAAGAAAGTGGCCAGGACAAACTCTCAAGGGTGGGTGACGCAGTCCAGACCGTTGGGAAAGACCACCAGGACTGGGAGGAGCGTGCCAGCGATGTAGGGGCTGAAGATCTGACGGTTTTGTTTAAGGCAGGATCCTAGAAGCATCGAACCAGCGAATCCAACCAAAGTATCCCTGGAGCCCCACCGGAGATGGTCACACGCGTTCCCTGCCTCAATGAGTTTCGGGGGGTCAATCCAGCTCCGTGCCGCGCCCACCCAAATGAACATGCCATCATCCAACTGTCAAGCTGTCTTTCCTGTCATCCATCGCTGTGCTTGAAGCTTTTGCTTCAGGATGAGGCTGCATGCAGCGAATCAGATACAACAGCCCCTTGGTGAAACGGGGATTCACGTTCGTGTGTGAAACGGGGTGGAAAGCTGGGCAATAGATTGGATATCCTCAGCTGTGGCAACGGTGAAATCAAGTGCTGAGTATCAGGAGTGAGCCTTGTGTTATAGAGATTTGTTGGGCACTTGAGCGGACTAACGTGGGTGGTTGTGCCTAACATTCAAGGGAGGACTCTACCTCCGACCTCCTAAAGCGCGAAACAACCCTGCGGTTCATTCCTAACCAGTGGAGTGACTTTTCTCCAAACAGTTTACTGTTAGGGGTTCTCAATTCTTTCTTAAGATGTGTCCACCCTTTGTGTCACTGCTGGTGGCCATGTAGCATTTCTTCGATTGTCTCCCAGGTCTGTCACTGCTGGTGTCCGCCCTTTTCCGTTGGC